GTTTCCTTTTTGGAAATTCTGTAAGCTACCTAGTGGTAGGCAGGAAATCCCTTTCTGCTTAAACATGTTAAAAGGGATTCTGGGGAATTCCCTGGTGGTCCAGTGGATAGGACTCCGTGCTTTCACTGCTATGGGGCTGAGTTCAATCCCTGGTCGGGGAAACTAAGATCCCACAAACCACATGGTAAGGCCAAAAAAAAGAAAAAGATTAATGTTGAACAGACTGACAGCAGGCCACAAGCTAACATCTTCAAGGAACGAGGGCATGTGACCCAGAGGTTCCTCCAGCCTGATGACATAAGATTCAAAGGTGGAGGTTCTGGGGAAAAGGGAGAAGTGAAGAATGGCCTGAACCTGGCACAGAGAAAGAGGAGGACCCAAGCCATGTGATATTAGGAATGTGGAAGAAATATAACCACCATTTCAGAGGGTGCCTAGGAAGAAACAGCACCCTCAAGGGATGAGGTTTTGATTACAGTGAGAATGTAAAGGCAATGTTCGGGGATGCTGAGCACGAAGGGACCTTCACTACCAATGGGTCGCCAGCTTCAGAGAGTGGAGTGAAGTTTTCAGGAGTTGGAGAAAGGTAACACACGAACACAAAAAGGGGAACTGCAGAGATGTAGAGGATTACATTTGCAAGAGGTGGAGGTTACCCTTGAGTTCCGGGTTCCTTGTGGTGACTGAGATAAACACATAGTACGTGCTGAGAATGTTCTGACAGTCTCAGGACTGTTAACAATGGGAAGACTGAGACTGCAGGATGGTGGTGGGGTCTGGACCCCTAGGGAGCAAGGCTTTTACTTCATTCCTGCCGCCTGAGGCCTGAGGACAGGGTAGTCTTACTCCGATACTTGGGGCCTCCTCTTAATACGGGCTGATGAAGGCACAAAGCCCTAGACTTCAATTCTGGGAAATCTCCTTGAAGTACTGACATTTCTTTTATGACTTCCTCCTCTCCCATGTCTCTATTCCTCTCTTTACTGCCTACTTAACTATTAGGTCACCTATCCTGGACCTCTTTTTACCACTTTCACCTCTTCTTGTTATACTTTCTGGGTGATTCCCTTGACTTTATTTTCCAATGCTGACACTGAGTGTCTCATTTCTGATATCAACTGTTTTCAAGAGTTCTTTTTTGTTCTCTGAATTTTCCATTTTTTCAGCAATCTATTGTCTCAGGGTTAGTTGCAAACATCTTCTGTAACCTTAGGATGCTAAATTTTCTTCTTCCTGCATAGTCTGTTTCAATTGGGCTTTCCCCCCCCCCTGCTTCAGCCTTTTTCACATCTTTGGCTTTTTTTTTGATATTTAAAAATGGAGCGTCAACAAGCTGGTGGTGAGAAGTTCTGCGTGCACAGTTGGCACTTCTGTGTGGAGCTATTTTTTTGTTTTTGTTTTTGTTTTGTTTTGTTTTTGTTTTTTTTTTCCTTGCGTTATGCGGGCCTCTCACTGCCGTGGCCTCTCCCATCCGCGGAGCACAGGCTCCGGACGCGCAGGCCCAGCGGCCATGGCCCACGGGCCCAGCCGCTCCGCGGCATGCGGGATCCTCCCGAAACGGGGCACGAACCCGCGTCCCCCGCATCGGCAGGCGGACTCTCAAGCACTGCGCCACCAGGGAAGCCCCTGTGTGGAGCTATTTTACTGAGGAATCACTGGTCTCTTCACTTGACTTGATCAGATCTCCCAAAGAAAGTTCTGATTTCCAGCCTAGAAGGTGCACAAGTCTATTAGCAGGTTCTGGATAGAACCAGGAGTAGGTGAGGGGGTGACAGAGAAGGACCTAACATTCAGTGTGGTTCCCCAACATTCAAAATTCCTGCTACACTGCTCCAGAGAAGAGAGAGGTGGGGAAGTGACCGGGAATCTAAGTGCTTCTTAAAGACTTTTAGCCAATTTTCCTGTTCTTCACCCCACCAGCATCCCCTTCTTCCAGGTTTCTGAATCTTCAGTTCCTAAGCCTTTCTGGGAATTCTGCCACATGGGGGTGCTGCTCAGCTTCCTGCAATGTGGCTTAGGATTTACCTTTCTCAGCTCTGCTAAAAGTCACAACTCTTCCACCTGATTTTGAGCTTCCAAAATTTTGTCATCAGCTTATTTTCATTGTTCTTCTGAGTTTATGCTTTTAAATTTTTAATCTCTTTACTATCTTAGTGGAGTTTCAGGAGGGTGTAAATGCTAACATGTTCAACTGCCATCTTTACCAAACCCTGGGGACTTCCCTGGTGGTCCAGTGGGAAAGAATCCGCCTTACAATGCAGAGGATGCAGGTTCAATCCCTGGTCAGGGAACTAAGATCCCACATGCCGCGGGGCAACTAAACCCACGCGCCACAACTATTGAGCTCGTGCGCCTCAACTAGAGAGCCTGCATGCTGCAAACTACAGAGCCCACGCGCTCTGGACCCTGTGCACCACAACTACAGAGCTCACGCGCCCTGGAGCCTGCACACCGCAACTAGAGAAGAGAAAACCCACATGCCACAACTAGAGAGAAGCCCGTGCCACAACGAAAGATCCTGCCTGCCTCAATGAAGATCCTGTACGCCATAATTAAGACCCAATACAGCCGAAAATAAATTAATAAATAAATAAATAAACAAACACCAAACTCTGTTGTGTATCTTATTTCTAAGTTTATTGGGAAGGGGGCTGGTGGTCTGTTTGTTTGGTTTTTAGTTTTCGGTTAATTTTTTTTGTTCCCCGCCACCATCCCACCCCCCCACCCCAACCTTCTGAATTGCAAGCCTTCAAACTCATTTTCTAAAGAATGCATCCAAGACTGTAAACATTGCTCCAAGTACCACCTTTCGCCACATCCCCTAGACCCTGCTATGATCTATTCTTACTGTTGTTCCGTTCTAAATCATCTGCAGCTTTCACTTTGTGCTCTCTTTAACCCAAGAGCTAGTTTGAAGTGTACTAACTTTATATAAGAAAAAATTTTTCCTCATTCTTTCATCCAACATGCAAATAAACAACAAAAACAGCAAAAGGTGACCAATGTCAACCCCACGAACATTCTGGCAGTGGAGACCTCAAGAACCCTTCATAAGCTACATCAGTTCTCTTTGCCCCTTTCTTTTTTTCCCTAC